CTTGTAAATCGTAGTAGCTATTTCTTCCAATTTCGAAGGGTCAACTTCTCGAACACGGAACCTGAAATTCAACGTATATTATAAGAATCTCTGCAACAGCACAAAAACAAACGTCAGCGAGGAAATAATCCAAAATATTAACTGGCCCTAACTAACTGAGGCATCGCTCATTGTTGCAGAGGAGAAATTGCCGGAGAAGAGGTGACTGTATATGAGCACAGTGAACAAAACTCTGAGGAGGCCAAGTCTCACAGAACCACATTCGTCCAATGTGAAAAGCATATGAACGACTGCATATGAACGACAAGGGTGGATAGTAGCTCATACCATGTAAAAGTCGGGGGAACAAACAAAAATAGTCCTATGAGCCCTGTGCGCTACACCGCAAGACGCAGATGATAGACTGACTTCAAACTGTGACGGATTGATACCCTGGGGCTGCAAACGGCCAACTGGAAGACTCAACTCAGCTGGGATGCGGCTAAAAGAGATATGAATACTTGTGGCGACAAATCCATGAGATAACGACCGCAGATACCAAGATTAAGCAGTGGTCACACAAGTTAATTACGAATAAAGATCCGACAATTATGTTGTTGTCAAAGTGCTATTAACAACTGTCGTCATGGTCAGCGAAGAGAACGAGCCTCCTTCGTGGAACCCTGCAGAACTACACTGTTGATTTCAGCTTCGCAAACTAGAGTGGTATTTACACCTGGTAATCCTAGACTTCTCTTAAGTTATGACTTCCAAAGTGCCAAAAACGTTAGGTCAAGAAAAGCTTGACCGTTCCTGTCATCTTCGGCATCATAGAATTCAGCTGAGTGCTTACTGAGCCGAGGTGAGCATTTCTTGACCAAGCCAAGGCCCGCTATTTTCCTGCTGACAAAGCAACGAATCAGCCTGACTAGTATATAAAGAGGGCTTACATATGTGTACAACATCGGCTCGAGTTCAATCAAAAATTTGAAGATGAAGTTAGGCAACGTGTTTTCAGGACAATTTCCACGTGCTAGCATTCAGTGACTGTGAGCGGACTTGGGTTCTATTAAAACATTAACGGCGATCCTAGCGCTGGTGGTCGAGTCGAAACCTGAACAGAGAAGCTTCCATTCGCAAAGGTTCATTACCCCACAGCCCCGGCAAATCGTTGACAAGAGTCCAAGGCCTCATCAATTAGCTCCTGCTCATTCCCTGAGTGAGAACATGCTCCAGTTTCTGACTGCTAGCTCCCACTGACGGTTTGGCCATGGCGGAACATTCTGACGTGCCATGATGGTATAGTGCCATCTGTTCCTGATTTCACAGCGGGTATCTACTCCGTTGCTCACTGAAATCGTCAATCTCTTCGTGTAGATT